TATATATATAATACTTTTTAACCAGTCCTCTGCTGATAATAACCATAGGATGTTTTCTTTTGGGTTTTTTCCCTCCTTTTTGTTTAAAAATAGTACTACCATGCTTTGTGTGTGTATCTGTATGTACAATCACTTTCTCAAAGAATTGTATTGCCACCAGTGCTGTAACAGTATACCTCTTTCTCCATACCCTTGCCAGCATAGAGTATTTTTATCTGTCTTTTCTAGTCTGTAAAAAAATTGGCATTATATTTTTATGGCCTTAATTAGGAATGAAGTTCAGTCTTTTCCTATATTTATTGCCCATTTTTCCCCTATGAAATAAAATTAAACTGTATCTTGTATGTCAGTGTTTTTTGGGAGTAATGAGCCCATTTCTACAGATTCATGTAAATTATATTTCTTATGAAAGTGTTCCTCAGACAATGCTGATTTTCTTCCCCTCTACTCTCCAGTATGTGTAGGACCCCCCCAACAGAGCTTTGATAATTGGAAATCTTAGAAGGGTTATGAATAGAAAAGCCAGTAGATGTGCATGAATACCCTTACCCACGGCTGGAAATGAGGAGATCAGTTAAAAGGCTACTGAAAAAGATAGCAAAAAAGAACATGGCTTGCATGAGAGAAAATAGATTTGAAAGATAACCAGAAGGTGAACTTGGAAAAAATTGGGAAGAGTTTTTTTTAATTGACAAAAAGATATTTTGCATGAATCCAGAAGGGTTTGGGGCAAGTGTTGAAGAATGTCTCTCAGTTTGGTAGTTGAATTATTTAAATATTTTGATATTTTGATAGAATACATTTATATTTCAAAGCATTACAATTATATATCACAGACAAGGGAGAAAATATATACCTAGATTTTTAAGAGTAATTTTGGTCAACATAAAAGTAAACAAGCTCTAGAAACACTGAAAAATTACTCCTGATCATACTATCAAGGAGAGGTGTTAACATTCATCTTATATGCTTTTAATCTTTTATGGTTATGATAATACCATAAACAAAGTTTTATATATTGTCTTTTTAACACTAAACATTTCCCTATATAGTGGATATTGTTTATAAGCCTAATTTCAAAATGGCCACTCAGTATTCCATTAAGTGGGCATACCATAGTTTATATAACCATTTCCTCATTTTGGGACATTAGGGTTCTTTCTCCATTTTAATGTTGAGAGTAATCTGAGATGGGGCGCCTGGGTGGCTTAGTTGGTTAAGTGTCCAACTTCGGCTCAGGTTTGTGAGTTTGAGCCCTGCGTCAGTCTCTGTGCTGACCGCTCGGAGCCTAGAGCCTTGCTTCAATTTTGTCTCTTCTCTCTACCCCTCCCTCGCTCTCACTCTGTCTCTTTCTCTCTCAAAAGTAAAATAAACATTTAAGAATCAAAAAAGAAAAAAAACTAATTCTGAGAAAAATACTTTGCGCCTAAAGCTTCTTCCATTTAGTACTTTTTTTTTTCTTTGCTGGATTCAAGAATTTGTCAAAACGTTGAGATGTTTTAAAAGATCTGATACATTTTACTAAAATTGCTTTTCAGAAATTATTCTTCCAGACTTTACTCCTGGGTGTGGAATCAGCAATGAATAAGAATTGCCATTTTACTTATCACCACTTTTTTTTTTAACTTTGTCAGTATACATCTAAATTTATAACTTGCTGAAGGAGATGTAATTAAGTAGTAGGAAAATACTGTTTAGGATTCTATAAAAATGTTTTAGTTTGTTTTTCACAATTCCTGGATAATGTGTTTCTTGTAGATTGTAGACTCTATTTTCATACATTGAGGATTGGTGTGTGGGGGGGATTGTTTTTATCATATTAATTAAGCAGAAGATGCTTTAGTTACTTAGTTATTTTATTAGCCAAGATCCATTTAGGTGTGTAGTTGTAAATTCAGTGTGTGATGTGAAATATATCTAGTTAGTAGGTTGATTTCAGCTCTTTTGGTAAACATTTTTAAGTAGAACTAAATCATTTGCTACCCAAACAATAAACACATTTTTATTTATTTAATATGAAATAATCAGCATTCTTTGTAGTTCCCTTTAAGAAATAAGTGTATTCTTAATCAAAATGAAATGTGTTACTGCTTAATTTACAGAATATAAGTAGAATTAACCCAAGTCAAAAGTAAAATACTTGGGTTATATAACTATCTTATGTTTGTTCAGATACGGATTTTTCAGTAGGCTTTATTTTATTTTACAAATCTTAAATGACTCAATTAGATTGCAATTCAGTAAAAGCATCCTGATCCAAATAGTTGTCATCATTAGAAGCAAAATTACTTAATTACTACTGATATTATTCTACTGCCTCCTCCTCTTCCTACTACTACAATAATAATTCAAGCTTGTGTATAGTTTTTAATATATTGAGTATCTCTGGTAACCCAAAAGTTACTAATACAAATCTACCCAATTTATAATAAAATAATAATTTAGGGAAGTTAGTTGCTTACATTTTATACCTTGGTTGGATGAGACAAGTTTCCAACTTAGGCCCTTTATCTAAGCCTTCTCCCGACCCCTTTATTTTCTTCTATTTATTTTGCTTACGATTTAGGAGAATTTTTTGGATCATTTATTTTCAGAACTGCCTGGAACATGTAATAAATATATTACTTGATTTTTTTTTTTTTTTTTTACTGTTTCCAGTTTTGATCGTGCATTTTGATAGAATGTTTGCTGGCTACTATTTAGCCAGCTCCTTTCTAATAATTAATTTAGCATTAACTGTCATAACACATTGGGACAACTATAATGAAAGTTAGCTAAAAAGAACCATTAACTGGGTTTGGCATACTTAGTTTTAAGTGGCAGTACATTCTTTTATATATACACACACACACACACACACACATATACATGTATATACGTATATACATGTATATACGTGTGTGTATATATATGTATATACATGTATATATGTGTGTGTATATATATATACATATATATCTATATAGATATAGTGTGTGTGTGTATCTGTGTGTATTTAATATGTATTTATTTTTGAGAGAGACAGAGGATCTGTCAACTCAGAGCTCAATGTGGGACTCAAACTCAGCTGAAGTTGGACACTTAACCAAATGAGCCACCCAGGTGCCCTTCAGATACATTTTTAAAAGTTTACTTGCTTACTCCCTGATAAAAGAATAGCTTTTAGTTTTCAGAACACTTTCACATATATTATCTCACTAAATCCTTGACTATCCATATGATAAAATAGCAGAAGTATTTGGTAATTGAGAAAACGAAGTTCCATAGACATTAAATGTCACAAGGCTACTTTGTTCCAGAGTAAGGACTAGAATGTGCATTTATAAACTAAAATATCATAGATATTTTATGAATTTTACTGCCTAATTTTAGAGCACTAAATTTTTAAATCTTTTTTTTTTTTAGAAAAATCTTTTAAAGGTTTATACCTTTAAGATTATTAGCCCTATAGTGATTACTCTGAATTGTTTTAGATTAACCCAATGAAAGTATTTCTGTCATTTTTATTTGGCTGTCAGAATCTTTTCAAATAATTCTACAATAACGGAAAGTAATGGCAAATAGTTGTCTCATTTCTTTAAAAAAGAAACAAATTATTTTTTCTAAAATTTTAAAAGCCTGTTATTATAGACTCTCATTGAGCATATCCCCTACCTAAGTCTCATGTGCATGATTTGAGTCTTTGTAGATAATCAGCAAGTTCGGGCTAATTAATTCTTTCATTCATTCAATAAGGTCATGGGATGTTGTTTTCTTTTGATCCGCTGTATCATACAACACAGGATAGTCCTTGGTACATGCTTTTTTCACTTGCAAAATAACACTTTTATTGATTTGTATCTTCACTGTAACAATTTCTTCATTTTCTTTGTATGTTTATTACTTACTAAAAGCTTTGTTTTAATTGATTCTCTCTCTCTCTCTCTCTCTCTCTCTCTCTCTCTCTCATGGCATAGTTAGGCTTCTAAGTTATTTTCTATAAGAAATCGTTGTTTTAGTTTGGGGAATTGCCATTTATAGTGATGGTGGTGGTACGTAAGATTTTCTAAATACTTGCTAGAGTGAACATTTCTTAGTTTGTTTTTCATATTTTGGCAACTAATGAATTTGGGGGATTATTTCCCATTAGGCAACTGAAGAGGATACTTCCAGTTCTCTAGTGAAAGATCATCTTTTCCCGCAAGAGACAGTTGTTACCAGTGAGCCTTACAGAATCTCAAGACCTTCTGCCTTTGAAGGTCTGGATGCCAGAAGAGTCTACTTACAAAGTCAAGCCAGTCAGGTGAGACCATTAAATATTTTTCAGTGTGTTATTCGTATGTATAGAAATTGGATGTACTAGAGAAGGACTTTAAGACCATGTGCCTTTACCAGACAAAATAAACAACAGAAATCTAGGCAAATATGATTTAATTGAACCATAAATTTTACTTTACATTTTTTGATGACAGAGGTGAAAAGGGAAAATGTGTTAGTTACATTTTCATTATCTGAAGGAAAAGGCATTTTATTCTCTTGGGAAGCATATGTTTCCCTATCATTACTCTACATAGAACTTCTCAGATGAGAGATACTACGAAAAATAGTCCTGAGCAAACATACCTGTGGCAAATACACTGATGAGTTTCATAGAGTTATTTCTTGTAGCTTAACCTCAGATACTAATAGTGTACTCCTAAATCAACTCAGACAAAAGTGTTTCCTTTGGGTACTCCGTATACAGTCTTCTAATTGTTCCAGCTTGATCTAAAAATGAAACCTTAGTTATAGGATAGAACCCTATTTTTATGCCACTCACAAATGTTATTAAATCTGTCAGAAGACCATTCTTGACCCCATTTTTTTTTAGTGATATGAACAGATGCTTTCATTCTTAAATAAGCATTTCTAACTGTTTCTCTGTGAACTCCTGTGGCTTAAACTATGCCCAGTATATGTGTACAAAATCAAAAGACAATCAAAGTGATTTTTTTTTAATGTTTTAAAATATTTATTCTTCTTGATAGCTGTTTATAAGATGTATTAGTAACCAGTGGCATAGTGGCTATGCCTGAAGCCTACCCTGATTCTCATTTAAGAATTCCATTGTAACCTGAGGATCTCAAATCTGCATCTTGTTCGGGAAGAAATTTGCATTGCATTTGCTCTTCTATTTGTCTAGAACACTTTTCCCCTAGATCTTCAGAGTTTGCTCCTCACGTTGTCACCTCTTTTGTGAACCCTTCCCTGGGTGCTCTAAATAAATAAAATAGCAATCTGTTTTGTTTTGTTTTGCTTTGTTTTGAGGGGGAGAATCTTTTTTTTTTTAATTTTTTTTTTAACGTTTTATTCATTTTTGAGACAGAGAGAGACAGAGCATGAACGGGGAAGGGTCAGAGAGAGAGGGAGACACAGAATCTGAACTAGGCTCCAGGCTCAGCTGTCGTCACAGAAAGCCGACCCAGGGGCTCGAACTCACGGACCGTGAGATCATGACCTGAACGATTGGAGCCTCAACTGACTAGCACCACCCAGCCACCCAAGGGGAGAATCTGTAAGGCTGTGCTTTTGATTGTGAGGCTGTCCATGGGCATGATCCCACGACCCTGGGATCATGACCTGAGCCAAAATCGAGAGTCAGACACTCAACCGACTGAGCCACCCAGATGCCCCCAAATAGCAACTTTTCTATCACTATACCCTTACTCTGCTTTATTTTTCATGACACTTATCACTTCCTGACTTTATGTATTTAATTTTCTGTTTGTAACTTTTTGTTCCACAATATGTTCAGGAACCTAGAAGTTTCTTAATAGAATGAGCATCTAGTTAACATTTGTTGACTGAAAGAATGAATAAATGCTAACAGCATCGCCTTGGAAGCAAATGATATTTGACTCAGTTTATTCCTAGTCTTAACATCCAGTATTGGGACTTTGATTAATTTAGGATCATTTGGTTTTGCAAGGAACAAATCCATTCGCACTAATTTAAGGAAAGAGGACTTTATTTTAATGACTCAGTGGCATTTCTCAGAATTCCTTTTAAGAATAAGTACAGGGTAAGACTTTTGAGATGCTAGGCATTAAGTAGCTTCTCTCTTTCCCCACTCCTGCTCCCCCTGTACCCTATTCACACATACTCCACATGACCATTTATCTATGTTTCTCTTTATATATTTGTTTCATTCTTTTGCACAATGGTCTAGACTATTTGTTTCCTCATTGATTAGTAGTATATTATGACTATCAATGTCAGGCTCAGCCCTTTAGACTACATGGCATTCCTATGTCCCTAACCAATTCCATATTCTTACAAGAAGGAAGCCAATTGGCTTGGCTTAGGGCAGGTTTATACATTCTATATAGCTCTCCATTCCAAGGTTACAGGATGGGCAGCCAGATTAGGCAGAGAGGAGATAAAATGGTGCACACTCCATCTAACATTGCCACTTTTGGACAGAGCTCTTGTTCTAGCCTATCATATAAACTTATGGCTTCCCTTTGAGGCATGTGCCAGATCCTGGTTTAACCATAATTATGGCTGTTTGGGAGGAGACTGAATACTAATCATGGCAACCTTTTGAGGAATGAGATGTTTCTTTCTGCCTCGTGTAAATTTTAAGTTGTGAGTTTTACATTTCCTGCCTAAACTTGTTATGTTGCCACTTTCCAAAAGGTCTATTTGCTTAATGGAACCACACTGGGCATTGGGGAAAAGTTGGATAGAAATTTCTACAACAATGGGTAAGATCTTGGGCTTTAGGCACAGGCAGATCTAGTTTTAAATTCTGGCCTTTTACTTTACTTACAGTTACAAAACTACTCAAGTTCTCCATCTTCCTGTTGCCTCAGATATAAATATCAACAAAAATAAAACTTATTTCCATAGTGTTATTCTAAGAGTTAAGGAAGATAATTCCCTCATATATACATTGATATGTGTGTCACATATATGCATGTGATAAATGTTAGAGCACCTATGATGTGCCAGGCCCTATTCTAAGCCCTGAGAATAGCTGTGAACAAGAACGATATGAACTGTTAGCCTCATGAAGGATATAAATGCTAGTGAGGGAGATAGACAGTAAATAAGTTAAACCGGTAATATTTCAGGTAGTAATAGTGTTGTGAAACAAAGTAATGGGAAAGTAATGGGAAATAGAATAGTAGGAATACAGAGGAGGACTTCTGCAGATCTGTAAGATGATTGGGAAAATCCTCTGGGCAGCTCTTTGTATGGAGATATGAATAATATCAAAATAGAACATAACAGCCATATGAAAATCCAGGGGTGAGGGGCTGGATATCCAAGCAGCAGCTTGGTATTTCAGAGAAACAGGCTGATACAGCTTAGTTCAGTGAGTAAAAGTGGTAATATACTACAAATTACAGTTAGAGAACTTGGCAGGGTTTGGATAGTGTAGGCTATTGGGAGGAGTTGGAATTTTGTTCTAGTTTCAATGACAAGCAGTTGGAAGCCTTTTAATCTCTAATAAAGATCTCATTTCATTTTGGAAACATTATGGTTTCTATGTGGAGAATGGACAGTTGGAATGTGGTCATGAGTGGAATTAAGACCAATTTTGAAGGTTATTGTTTTCATCCAGTTAAAAGATTTTGGTGATTTGGACGAAATAGAAATGACGAGAAATGGTTAGGTAAGCGCAAATTCTGTTAGGTAAGAGCAAAGTCTGGAGGAAGACTTGGTAATAGATTAGAGTCAAGAATGCCTTCTGAGTTTGAGGTGCAAGTAGTTGAGTGAGAGATGATGCCATTATCTGAGATAGAGAAGACTGGGGTGATTACCTCTGTCATCACCAGTGTAGTACCACGGCCCACTCCTGTAAGAAGACACAGAGTGGATGATTTGCCTAATGTAGGGGTTGTATGTTAGGACATGTAAGCTCTTATATTCTGAATGATGTATATCATGATTAAGTAAACTGTCATGATTATTTAGTGGTGGTAAAAGACATGTCTTGTCCTGACAACTAAATTAAGTAGTAAAATGAAGTCAAGAAGAAGTAAATAAAAGCAGTATTTTAAAAGGTGATTAAAATTAAAATTTTAAGATGAAATTTGAACCAGAAACTGAGAAATTGAGGCTAAAATTATGGTAAATATTTCTTAACCAGTGAAGAATAGATGGAGTACGAAGACAGATTTCCAAAATTTGTGTGGATTAGGAAATTAAAAGTGTAAAAGTTAAAAGCAGCATAAAAAGGAAAACAGTAAAACAAGAACTAAAATCATTTAAAAGGGGTCAAATCTTAAAAGTATAGAGATGAGAGGAATAAACTTTTCTAAACATGGTGATTTGAAATAGTGTAAACATAAAAATTAAGAAAATATAATGGTAAGGGGCGCCTGGGTGGCTCAATTGGTTAAGCGTCTGACTTCGCCTCAGGTCATGATCTTGCAATTCGTGGGTTTGAGCCCCGTGTCAGGCTCTGTGCTGACAGCTCAGAGCCTGGAGCCTGCTTCAGATTCTGTCTCCCTCTCTCTCTGCCCCTCCCCCGCTCATGCTCTGTCTCTTTATGTCTCAAAAATAAATAAAGGTTAAAAAAAAAAGGAAAATGGTAAGATACTGTTTCTAATTTTGCTCCTACTGCTCGTTTTTAATGTGGAATAGATGTAGCTGAGGGAATAGTTACTGCATGTTGTTTTGTTGTTTATTTATGCTAAACAGACCATCAAGTCTAACTGGCATGGAATCTGACTTCTGGAATCTTGAGTTCCTTGAAAAGGATGACATGTTTTCCTCAAGTAGAGAGCTGAGGAGACCCAGCAGAAGATCAGATCAGAACATTTCGATATTTCAGCCTTTGCCTCAGATTAGGACCAGTACTTGGCCAGTTCTCAGGTGTATGTGCACACAAACGCACACACAGAGATATGCTCTTGAGCATGTTGTGTTGTCTTTTGGAGAGAAGGGTATGCTGATAAGTCTGACTCGTGGGTTGTTGTGTTGATCTGGTTTAAGGACAAACCTAATTCCAGAGATAGCACTATAAACCTGTTAATTCATTTTGTTCTGAGTGAATTAAGCTCTCCGTAAACATTTGGCTTATTTGTGATATCAATAAAGGACTCTGTAAGATAAAGGTGAAATACTAGCAAGCTTTAATGCTGTTAACAGTCCCAGTGGGAAAGAAAGGAAGGTTCCATGGCTACAGTAATTAAAGATTATAATTTCTTAATTCTCCAGGGACTGTGGGTCACTCAAAATTGTTCTCAGCAAGTCACAGTAACAGCATGGATTTTAAATATTTCCTGTGTAACTGAAGTTTTACTTTCCCCA